AGGAGATGCCGTGGCCACCTCGGGGGTCCCTGCCCGCCTACCTCCACTCGGCCTCCAGGTGCAGACACTCGTACTTCTCCTGCACTTCGCCCACCGTCAGGTCCGGGTGCAGCCAGTGGATCTCATCCGACTTGACGTGCTTCAAGCGGAGCCCGTAGCACTCGGCCAGCTTGATGTCAGGCCCGATGCGGCCGCTCACCAGGATGGACTTGATCACCTCCTGGCGAAGGGGGTGGGAAAAGCAGCCGTGAGACCCACATGGCCGGCTGCCCTTTGTGCTCCAGGTCCCCACGGACCTGCCTGCATTTGTACCATGACCAGCCTCCAGCCAGTGCAGTCCCCTCTGCGGGACAGGACAGGAACATGTAAAAACCAAGTTCTGACTGCTCATCCTTACTGCAGATCCCCTGACACTGCTTGGGAGCGTTTGTCCTTCCCGGGCAGCCAGCCCCTTGCCATCCCTGTAACGCAGCCAGAGGGGTGACAGCAGGGGTAAATCGATCCCTCTTTATACAAGGGATGGGCTGCTGCTGTTTTGTGCTCATTTCCAAGAGATGCTTGGATAAGGGAGGCACTGGATTTGTAGCGTTTACTTGAGTTCAGTTCCTGCGTCTTCAGCGTACACATATTTCTAAAGCAGGTGTGTCTTTGCAACACATGGACACTTTCAAGCTGAATTTCCCCAGAAACGCCTTTTCTTTTTCCTCCCCTAGGAACTTCACATCAAGCCTACAAGTTCAACAGATGAGCTTAGAGAGGTCAAAAATGAAGAGAAAATACACCTGCAACTGTAGCAAGAACGCAGTGCCATGCATAACCACCAGCGCCAAGGGTCTCCATATTTGGCCTCCAGAGATGCCTTTGGCCTTGGCCAACCCGCTTTGCAACAACCCCTCAGCCTGGATGTGTTTTGCCCAAGCTCCTTGATGTGTTTCGGTCCAGGATGAAAACCTAATCGGATCATTTGCTCCCTTCTTTACACCCCAGCGGAGCTACGCCTGATGCACAGCATCTCCCCACAAGCAAGCACCAAAGCAGACGCTGCCGGCAGTGCATAGCCCCACTCACGCTGGCCCTGCGTCCTTACCAGGCTTTCACTGGCAGGAAGGGATGTGTGGGGAAAGAATAGCCGATCCATCCTTCAAATGCCTCAGTCTCCAACTATTTGTGACCAAGGGGCCTCCAAAGCCAGATGTAATTTTCATGTATTCAGGAGCCCTCAGTGAATTTCTTTCTCAGGAGCTTGTTCTGTCTTGCCCGGACACCACGGGTCTCTGCGATTGTCTGTTCTCCCCGGCGGGGAGCAGCCTCCTCCTGTCTCAGGTCTTGCACAGGAGAAGCAGGGACCAGTGAGAGCACTTTGGTTTCATGGCCTCTCTCTCCTGCCTTGCCTTCAGACACCTCTTCCCCAGCCTAGAGCATCCCCGCCTGCTCCCATGGCTGCTGTGCTCCTCTCCAAAGCCTTTTGCCATGCCACGAGCTCCTCCGTGTGACGGGAGGAGCAGCAGGGCTTTGCATGTCCTGCTGGCCGAGCAACAAACCCCAGCCACGGAGGTGGTGTTTCGGTCACCTCCGCACAAGTCTATGGCAATGTGCTGCCCCCAGGACTCAGCCCCAGACAGCACGTAACATCACCCATTGCACCAGGGCAGCTCCCCAGCTTGAGAGCCCCCTAGCCTGGCTCCCAGGTCGGGTACGGAAAAGGAACGAGCCCTGCTGTCCTCTCCAGGGGTGCAGGGCTTTTGTGTTCCCACCCGTGAGTCAGAGGTCTGCCGAGCTCTGCAGGGCACCCTGCGATAAGCATCTCGGAGCCACCCGAGGCAGATCTGACCCCGCAACCTGCAGATAAGCAGCTCAGCCTTGCTTCACCGCGCTGCGCCCTCCAGGCTTTCAGGCTTGCTAAACAACCCCTCGGCCACCAGGATGGGTCCGAGCAGGTCCTGGCGCGGGGCCCAGCCCCGGGACGGGTGGGAGGCACAAGGCTTTGGGGAGAGGTGGAACGGGAGCAAGCATCTCGGCGCTGGCGCTTTGCCGCCAGGCTTCATGGCTTCTCCAGGGTGAGAGGAACAGCAGCCTGGACATGCCCACTGCTCTCTGCTGCCCACCGACGGGGCCGGCCGCAGCTCGCTGGGGCTCGCTCTTGCGGTGAGCAGTGAGTTATAGCCATGCGATACCAGCCTGGCATGTTAAAGCCATGGGACACAAGCCTGGCATGTTAGAGCCATGCGATACCAGCCTGGCATGTTATAGCCATGCGATACCAGCCTGGCATGTTAAAGCCATGCGATACCAGCCTGGCATGTTAGAGCCATGCGATACCAGCCTGGCATGTTAAAGCCATGCGATACCAGCCTGGCATGTTAGAGCCATGCGATATCAGCCTGGCATGTTAGAGCCATGGGACACAAGCCTGGCATGTTAAAGCCATGCAATACCAGCCTGGCATGTTATATCCATGCGACGACATGAGCCTAGCACATTAAAGCCTTGCGATACCAGCCTGGCACGTTATAGCCATGGGATACCAGCCTGGCACGTTATAGTGATGCGACAACCAGCCTGGCACATTAAAGCCATGGGATACCAGCCTGGCATGTTAAAACCATGTGATACCAGCCTGGCACATTAAAGCCATGGGATACCAGCCTGGCACAGGGTCTCCACTCGTGCAACCCCAGTTCACCCGGGGCTCTCGGGGAAGGCCGCTGCAAGGGAACTCGAGCACTAAGAGGCGTGCGGATATTCGCGGCCCGGCCAGAGCAGGCGCAGCTCAGCACGCTCACGTGTGCACGTATGCGCACGTACGCTGGCGGGGACATGCACAGACCCTGGAGAACAACAGTGGCTCCCTCTCACTGCAGCCCACCCCAGCGCTTTCACGGCTCCCTTCGCCACCTACCCGGATCTCCGTCGTCACGGGGCACTTCACCAGCTTGAAGTTCTTGCCCATGTTGAAGCTGTTGCTGTAGAAGCACACCTTGAGGATGCGCATCTCCTGGCGGTCGGCCTCCAGCGGCAGCATCACCATGGGGCTCTCCAACGTCCCGG